AGAAAGAAAGAAAGAAAGAAAGAAAGAAAGAAAGAAAGAAAGAAAGAGAAAGAAAGAAAGAAAGAAAGAAAGAAAGAAAGAAAGAAAGAAAGAAAGAAAGAAAGAAAGAAAGAGAAAGAAAAAGAAAGAAAGAAAGAAAAAAGAAAGAGGAAGGAAAGAGGAGAAGGAAAGGAGGCAAGGGAGAAAGGGAAGGGAAGGGGAGAGGGAAGGGAGGAGGGAAGAAAGTAGAGAAGGAAAGAAGAAAAAGAAGAAAGAAAGAAAGAAAGGAAAGAAAAAAGGAAGGAAAGAAAGAAGGAAGAAAAGAGAAGGAAAGGAGGAAAGGGAGAAAGAGAAGGGGAGAGAGGGAAGGAAGGAGGGAAGAAGGCAGGGAAGGAAGAAGGAAAGAAGAAAGAGAAGGAAGAAAGAGAAATAAATAAATGAAGGGAAGAAGGTAGGGAAGGAAGAAAGAGAAGGGAGAAAAAGAAAGAAATGAAGGGAGGAGGGTAGGTAAGAAAGAAGGAAAGAAGAGATAAAATTGATTGATTGATTTAGGAGAAATCTAATATACCGTATTTCAAAGAGGACTCTAAGTTTTTGATGTTATAAACTGTTTGCACATGGAAAGAATCTGAATTGAAAGAATCCGAGAAGGATTGGGATTTATATTGTTAAGGATTTAGGGGAGTTTAAATCCATTAGATGCCCAAATATATATATATATATTAAATATATATGTGTATGGTATTCAGCTTTATTCGGGTATTTTCCCGAAGTCATGCATGCATACATACTATCGGTGGCACGCAAATTTAATCAATAAGCTATAAAATGTTGATTTTATTTTGTAATCCTTTTGGGAAGGTTATCATTTTGGAAGATTACGCCGACCCATACGACGCCAAGCAGACCAAGGGCCAAAGGGATGCTGAAAGATTGGAAGAGAATGACGGGTACATGGAGCCCTATGATGCGCAGCAGATGATAACCGGTAATCATGGTTTGTTTCAGAAGAAATCAGGATTGCTTTTGAACTCCCACTCCCGATGGAGCAAATCTTCCGGGAGGGGGGGGGAAATGCAGAGAAAAGTGACCGTCGTCACTTCGAACGGTCACCGTTGTAAGTTCAGGACGGCCCCTCCATGCTTCGTGGCATCCTTGACAAACACCCACAGCCCAGATTTTAACCTGGTTTTAAATCGGTCCCCCCCACCCCAATCCCGGCCGCCTTCTGACACTTAAGAGAGGGAAACCTCGTTTTCCAGATCATCACAAGTTTGCGACGCGTGGCGGCATTGAAAAGCCGCAACAATACGAAATTTATTTCACACAACACAAGGTCAGCCGTGAGCTGGATCTTTGCCCGGGTCTCACCGCGATTCCCCACCCAGAGCCGAGGCAGAAAAGCCATAGAGAAAAACAGGAAATTTGGGCACTGGAAATTGGAATAAAAACGGGCCATTGTCGGCTGGAGACACGGATGAGACCAGAAGCAATTGTGTGTGTGTTGGGGGAGGGAATTGGGGTCCAATCTTAAAATTTCCAGCCCTTTTTGTTGAGCCTCCGGTCCTTTGAGTCCTCCCTTGCCAACAAGGGGAGGGGTTTCTGAGCCTGTGCAGAGTGTCCTTGTTTTGTTTTTTTGCAAAGGGGCTTTTTCTTCCTTTTTTCCTTCCTTCCCTCTCTCCCTCCCTCCATCCCCTCTATTTTCCTTCCTTCCACCCATCCTCCCTCCTTCCCTGCTTTTTTTTCTTTCTTTCTTTCTTTCTTTCTTTCTTTCTTTCTTTCTTTCTTTCTTTCTTTCTTT